CCCGCCCGCCGGCCACCCTGCCCACGACCTCCACCGTTCGCGCGGTCGGCCTCCTTCGCTGCCTTCCTTTCCGCGCGCTTCTGCCGATTGACCTCCTTTGCTTTCTCAGCTACCTTTTTCTCGTTGTCGAGCTTCTCGTAGAACTCCAATACTTCTTGGCGGGTCATGACAACGCCATCCTTGATCCCCGCGTCCGCCCGTACTGTCGCAGTTTTCTTAGAGCGCTTGCGGAGGTGGGTGAGCCCGCCGAGCAGCACGGTGTTGACACGGAGCCCCTCGATCATGTACCCACGTTCTTTCAACTCCTTCAGGGCGTCAGGACCGAGGTCTGCTTCCAGCTGCTCCTTGGAGGTTACGATAGCGAGGTCCTCCGGGATCGGGCGGTCAGACGCCGACCGTTTCCTCGTGCTGTGTAGCCGACCGAGTGCCTTCTCCATGTCCACCGGCCATAGGCCCGCCCCTCTGAATGACGACATGTTGTTCGAAGGTGTAAGACTCCCGGCCCATGCCTGCGCAATCACACCAGCCATTTCACAACGCAGATAGAGCCTTCTGCCAAGAAAAATGCTACACGAAGAAGGAAAAAAAGCGAAAACAAGCACAAACATAGTAGCGGCCTTCACGACATGGCCGCAAGGATTCAAATTAATAACCCTGTTCCATCACCATGATCTTTTCTGAACAGTTTCAACGCAGCCTTCATGTCGTCAAAATATTCTTCCAGGTGTAATTTCAATCGCAAAAACAAATCCGAAAGGACTCCGAAACAAGGCAAAACTAAAACCAAACAAATAAACAATTCCGGCACATCTCAAACAAAACAATATTACAACTTCTTGGGCGACAGAAACGAATATTCGGCAAGCACAGAGGCCCCAACAATCACTCCTGCCAACTCATTTTTCCAGTATAGCCTGTGAAGACCAAACTTCATAGTGCGTACACGCAAATCGGTGCCGCCGTTGCTATCCAAGAAATGGATCGAAACCTCAACAAACATGTAGACAGCCCCCTTCTGTCACATCCCGAAACATACCTCTTATTTTTCCAGCGTTCATGCAAGAATACTCCGCGAATATCAATACGTCAACAAACAAACGTGCAGACAGCCCTCCTGCGAAGGAAGCTGTTCATATGGGAATACAAAAGCAAATCGATTACATTTCATGCCCTCTAGAATCATGGTCACACATGACATTCTCCCCCCATGATTCTGGATGTACATAACGGCAACAAAGAAGAAAATACCAGTGCAATAGTAGAACGCGCTGCCAGATAGAAAGGCAAACAAAACAAAACTAAACACGGAATCCGTATTGTTAGATCAGGTTCGATGTCGTCGCGCGATGCGAGGCGCGCCACGAGCCCAAACGGAATGCCAAGGGGCGACCCCCAGCAGGTTGCTCTCGGTCTCCCACATTCACCCCTCCCAAACATGCTGTTCTCCATCGCCCTCCATCTCGCCACCCCCCAGCTCGCCGCCCCTCAACTCACCGGCCTCTACCATCCTAGGCCAAATCATCGGCTTGTCGTTCAGTACACACCGGGTTGCATGCCCCGAAGAAGGCGATGTCGACGACGACGCGCGGGCGGTGGCTGGAGCGAACTATGTACCTTCTGCGGCGGAATCCTGCTGCGACGACGAAGTGGCGGCGGCGGCACTCCTCGCCGCGGCCGTCCTCGGGCCCGGCAGCTTGGCGGCACCTGGCAAAGGTGCAAGCGGTCCATCGGCCTCGGGGGTCGGCGGCGACGGCAACGGCGCGGCGACGATAACGGCGGCGGGCAGCGGAGCGGCGGTTGTCCTCGTCGCGGTCATTCGCAGGTCCGGCAGCGCGGCGGCACCCGGCAAGGGTGCAGACGGCACGGCGGCCCTGGGGTTTGGCGGCAGCGACGACGGTGCGGCGGCGGCGGCGGCGGCGGCTGCAGTCCATGGTGCGCCACCAGCGGTGTACGACGGCGACGATGAAGTGGCGTCGGCGGTGGGGGGTCGCCACGGTGCAGCGGCAGCAGTGGTTGGCGAACCGGTGATAGTACCCTCCGCGGCGGCGGCGAGGGCAGGCCGAGGGGCAGCGGTGGCAGCGGGCGTACAAGCGGCAGTGGTCCCGGGTTCCAACTCCCTAGGGAGGGCGTTCCCTTGTTGCTTGGCAGTCAAACTCAAAATGGGTTCGGGAAAGTGGCGAGCGCGGTGGTGGAAAACGCCAACATCCATTTGTTCGGCACGACCTAACTCAGCCACATCACACCCAGACGCAACTCCTTCCCTGGCATCAAACATCCCCGCACTCGTCCCCGAGTCTCCCTGCAACTGCTCACCACCTTTTGGTGTTGACATCCTAGTGTAGCATACCGGAGCTTGAGAGGTTACAGCAGGATTCACTACAGGAACAACAGGAACATCAAGCACAGACATACCAGCAACGGGAACACCAGACACCTCCCCATCACTAACAACTCCAATCTCATTTCCAGACACAGAATCAGACTCGCCTAGGGAATTCACATTACGTGTGAGGAAGAGACGAAGAGGGGCGCCACTTGCTGGAGGAATGTCGCCCGGAGGTGGAGAGGGGATCGCCGTTGAGGAGGCAGAGGTCGTTGGAGTAGCGCCGGTGTGCTGCTGCTGCTGCTGCTGCTGCTGCTGAGTCGCCGGCTGAGTAACGGTGCTTAAGGCCCCGATGAAAACTCGCTGCTCATCAGCGTCTGGCCCTGCAGAAGGGGGACAGAACGGGCGGCCCCGACCCCAGCTTGCCCCTTGGTCGAGNGAAGAGGGGCGCCACTTGCTGGAGGAATGTCGCCCGGAGGTGGAGAGGGGATCGCCGTTGAGGAGGCAGAGGTCGTTGGAGTAGCGCCGGTGTGCTGCTGCTGCTGCTGCTGCTGCTGCTGAGTCGCCGGCTGAGTAACGGTGCTTAAGGCCCCGATGAAAACTCGCTGCTCATCAGCGTCTGGCCCTGCAGAAGGGGGACAGAACGGGCGGCCCCGACCCCAGCTTGCCCCTTGGTCGAGTGGTGCAGCTGCTCTCGATATGATCCGCCCGACAAGCGCCCCGAGTCTTGTCCCCGGGCCTGAGGAAAACCTGGTCCCCGTATACTGTCCCTCTCGCAAATGAACGCCATGAAGTCGTTGTAGTGGAACAAGTAGTCCTGGCGAAGTTTATGGCAGTCCGGGGTGTTGTGGGAGGAGTTTGCTGCGTGAACCTGGCAGAAGAAGGCACTTCTCTGCTCATGAGATGGTCCGCCATCCGCTCCCGCAGCAGCTGCTCTCCTCATGCCCCGGCCCACACCGGCAGCGACGTGTCCTCGATCCCCTCTCCAGACCTCCGTTTGATCCTCTGCTCGTGTCCGGCCAGCCTCAGCGTCACTTCCAGAGCACCTCTCGAAAGCATG